AATATTTGTCCTCGAACGGCTACTGAACAACATTGACAGCAGATGATTGCGGTAGTTTATTCACTATGAGTTTCTTTTCGTTCCTGAAAATTATAACAAATTACAAGGAAGACGCCATCAAAAATGTTGATGCAAAAACAGAAGCCAGATTTTTATTGCCAATTGTACTATAATTTTATTTTATTATTTATTGATAGATTGATTTATTAAACTGCACATATTTAGTGTTTCATAACGTTCAGATACCATTTCAAATTTCTAATTAACTAGTTAGTCAGTTGACAGGTTCCAAGCTCATTTTGAAAAAAGCAATGAACATTCCAAAGGTAAAAACCCCCCAATTTAGCAAAAAATTGACAAATCAAAAAAATCATTTTGTAGTCTATATTTTCAGCAAAAGCCTTGAACTCAAAACTTTGAATACACTAATAAGCCAAAGCATTTTGTTCAGTATTCTTCGAGGGCTTGTACCACAGAAATGAATATTTGAGTTGGTGATATCAGGAATCGACCGTTTCTTAAGGAATGTGACAGAAGATTCTTTTCGTAAAAACTGAATAAAAATTTTATTTCAGAGAAAGAAATAACTGCAAACTTGCCATGTTTTCCCTATACTGTAAACGTACACCACGTTATCCGATTGCGCTACGGCGAGCCTCGCCGTAGCCTGAGTCTGGAGAAAAGCAGATCCATTTGATAATATATGATCTTTTCCCATACTAAAACAGCATGAAGAATGGAGCAAATGCTGATGTGCTCAGCTTTCTGAAACCTGACCTTAGCGTCTAGCGGCTTTGAACTGAATTAATCCTTATTTTCACCTTTTTCGTCGAGTAAGGTGATTATGCGATCTCGTTCAACAACAGCTAACTTTGAACTGTTTGGAGCGCAAGCCAAGGAGCGGATCTTATTCGAACCTTCCTAGAATGGCAACCGATTTTCTAAAAAAATTCAGTCTAAGCTACATATATACCTGCTGAGGCGGAAGAGTTGATAGATACTGTAGCTTCATGGCAAGACTTATGTTGCAATGGTCATATTGTTATCCCAAT